GCACAAAGGAGATGATAGGTAAACAAGCGAGTGTAGCCACAGGCACAAGAACATATGATTTCCTCTGTCCAGACACAAGATAAACCCAGTGGCGTACGCAGGATTTTTCGTAAGTAGTGTCACAATTTTATACTATGAACAACAAATAAATCTCTATAATATCATATTAAAAAAAATCATAATTCGAATCATATTAGTAAAACAAAACTCAATTATATTACAACTCTTCTTGATAAATTTTTATTTTTTAAAATATATTCAAAATAACCTTACTCGAAATATACTAAATGTACTTTCATTTCTATAAAAGGCACCAAACAATCACTTAAAAACTCATAATTAATCTGCCAATGTTCTTAATCAGTATCACCGTCGAGAAGAAAATGAAAGGAAAAAAAATAGAAAATTAGCAAAACACTTATGGAAGCATCATTGACCAATTAGTTTAGGTTTAAAAATTCTAAAATACAAAACGCAGCTACACAGCTTCGAACCATTGACACGAGTTAGAAAGCTTGGGTGCTTGACCAAATGAGCTACCCTGCCAATCAAGCTAATCTATGTCACTTCAATTAAATTATATATTTATTTGGTTCTGCATTTTAATTAATTACAAGTAATTAGTAAAATTTTCCGATGAAGCGGTGTCACGTGACACCGCTTCACCCAAGGTAAATCCGCCCCTGGACACACCCAGAGTTAGTGTCATGAGTGTTATGGAAAGAAATAGTGTGAACAAATCCAGAATTAGACTTCTAGGCAAAGCATAGAGGAAATCTTCTTCTGCATAACGGGATGTCAGAACGGACAAAAACACTAACATAGAGGTACTAGAAGCGAATAGTGATGCTGCATTTGAGATGGCGAAAATGCTGAAAGCACTATTTATGGAGAAAATGGGGAGTCCACTTTCGTTGTTGTTGCCACCTGGAACTGTAATTGTTGTTGCAAATGCGATGGTAGCAACGAGTTATGAGAGTGACATCCTTTGGATTAATTTAAAGGGGGTGAGGGACCGATTGGGAACGGGTATTGATTTTTCTGGGTAGGCGGGTCGTTTCATAATGGGTAGGACGCTTGGGTTCCAAGAAGAAAAATGGAGAAACTGATATTTTAATGACGTGGCACTCTTTTTAGCCGTTTAAAAAATATGCATGAGAGCACAAAGGAACTACTAACCTGTGTCAAGGGAACCAGGTTCCCTGACAGATTTTGTAGATGTGAGCCGCATCCTTTGCCAAAGTGCAATACTATTAGCCTCTTGTTTGCCCTGTAATCGCCGTGCATGTCTACCTGTAACGGTATAGAAATGAGACTTTGTCAGAAAATACTTTTAGCTATTTTACCTGTTTATTTCTTTCATAGCTAATCATTGAGGGACCATGTTCTCAACTTGATTTGATCAACCCTAGTGCCAAACGATTCCTTTAAAAGTGTTCTCTGCTCAGTGCTTTGGTGAAGTTATCTGCAATTTGATCGTGCTGCAGAACTTCATGGAGATAAACCCTTTTTCAACATTATCTTTGAGGAAATGATGTCGGACATCAATGTGTTTTGTTCTCTTATGCTGAATGGGATTCTTGGCCATGTTAAGAGCACTAATGTCGTCACAAAGTAGTGGCACACAATCTGAGAACAAACCAAAATCTTCTAGCTGCTACTTGATCTGCAACAATTGAGCACAGTAAGAGGCAACTGCCACATACTCAACTTCTGCAGTTGAAAGAGACATTGAGTTTTGTTTTCTTGTACCCCATGAGATTAGACACGATCCCAGAAAGTGTGCCATGCCAGAAGTGCTTTTCCCATCCACCAGATAACCAGCATAATAAGCGTCAGCATACCCGATCAAGTCGAAATTGTCTCCTGAGGGATAGTAGAGAACTAGGTCCTGCGTCTCTTTGAGATACTTCAGGATTCTCTTGGCCGCCTTTAGATGAGATTCCTTTGGATTAGATTGAAAACTTGCACACAGTCCCGCATTGAAAGCGCTATCCAGTATGCTTGCTGTGAGATATAAGAGTGACCCAATGATACCTCTGTACATGGTCTCGTTCACAGGAAAATCAGGTTCATCCATGTCCAGACGAGTGGAAGTGGCAATAGGAGTATCAATGACCTTTGAACTTTCCATATCAAATCTCTTTAGAAGCTCTTTGATGTACTTCTGCTGACTTATCATTGTGCCCCTTTGAGTTTGCTTAACTTGCAGACCTAAGAAGAAATCTAATTCCCCCATCATGCTCATCTCAAACTCATTTCCCATGAGCTTTGCAAATTCTTCACAGAGAGAGTCATTTGTTACACTAAAGATGATGTCGTCAACATAGACTTGAACAATGAGCAAGTTCCTCCCCCATTTCTTCAAAAATAAGGTGTTGTCAATTTTTCCTCTTGTAAAGTCATTTTCTAGGAGAAATTTGGACAAACTTTCATACCATACACGAGGAGCCTGCTTTAGCCCATATAAATCTTTGTCAAGTTTAAAAACATGCTTAGGATGCTCATGACATTCGAAGCCAGGTGATTGTTTGACGAAGACTTCTTCTTTTAGAAAACCATTCAGAAATGCATTTTTTGACATCCATTTGGATCAGTTTGAATTCCATATGAGATGCAAAAGCATTAAGGATTCTGATGGCCTTCATTCGAGCAACTGGAGCAAAGGTTTCATCATAGTCAATCCCTTCTTCTTGATTGTATCCTTGAACTACTAGCCTTTCTTTGTTCCTTGCCGTGTTTCCAAACTCATTAAGTTTGTTTATAAATACTCACCTGGTTTCTATAATAGTTCTGTCAGCAGGTCAAGGAACCAGGTGCCATACGCTATCCTCTTAAATTGATGGAGTTCATCTTGCACAACAGTAATCTAGTCAACATCTTTCAATGTTTCCTTGATATTTTTTGGCTCAATTTGAGAGAGAAATGCTGAGAAGACAAGTGAGTTTCTTAACTTTGATCTAGTTTGAATCCCTGAGTCAAGAGGAGTGATCATATTCTAAAGAGAATATGAACTCTTATGCTTCCAATTGGACACCTGAATCTCATTATGAGAGGAACCAGGTTCTTATGGATATGATTCAGGAGTCCTGCTTCTCACCTCAGCATATGGGGTTCCTTGCACAACATCCACAAACTCTGTTCTCTGCTTCAATTATTGTGATTGAGGGACCAGGTTCCTCTACATCAGTTGGAAATTCAGTTGTTCCATGGTCGTTTGATTCTTTGACCTGACTCATCATGTCGGCTTTTCCATTTGCCATATCAATGACTTCACCAAGGACATTTGATAGCTCTTCATCTTGATCAGCCTTATTATGTGCAACTCTTCCAAATAGGTGGTGTGATTCATCAAAGATCACATGTATGCTTTCCTCAACACATTGAGTTCTTTTGTTGTACACCTTGTAAGCTTTGCTTTGTGATGAATATCCAAGAAATATTCCTTCATCACTTTTGGCATCAAATTTTCCCAAAGCTTCCTTACCATTGTTGAGGATAAAACATTTGCAACCAAATGTCCTTAAGTGTGTTAGCTTGGGTTTTCTCCCATTTAGCAGTTCATACGGGGTTTTGTTCAAGAGGGACCTGATCATGCACATGTTCACCAAGTAGCATGCAGTGTTAACTGCCTCTGCCCAGAAACCTTTTGCAGCACTACTGTCAATCAACATTGTCCTAGCCATGTCTTCAATAGTCCTATTTTTCCTCTCTACAACACCATTTTTAGGGTGTTCTTGGAGCTGAAAAATTATGGCTTATACCATTTTGAGCACAGAACTCATCAAACCGTGCATTGTCAAATTTTGTGCCATGATCAGATCTTATACTCACAATATTATGGCTCATTTTTACTTGGATCTTCTTCACAAAGGCAACAAACACTGGAAAAGTCTCATCTTTGGTTCTGAGGAACATGGTCCATGTGAATCTTGAGTAGTCATCCACTATGAAAAAGATGTACCTTTTTCCTCATTTACTTGACATTCTCATAGGTCTACAAAGATCCATATGGATGAGATCAAGTGGCCTTGAGGCGCTTATTTCCTTTTTGGGTTTGAATGAGGACCCGATCTGCTTCCCTTTTACACATGCATCGCAGACCTTGCGATCTTTGAAGCTTGACTTAGGCAGTCCACGAACCAGGTCCTTCTTGACCAACTTGTTCAATAGTGTAAAACTTGCATGGACCAACCTTCTGTGCCACAATTTAGTATCATCATCTACAACACTCAGACATGTGAGATACTTATTATGTAGGGACTCAAAATCAGCGACATAGATGTTTTTGTATCTTTTTGCAATCAGGATCACTTCACCAGTCACAAGTTTTGTGATTGTGCATATTTTTGACACAAATTCTACCTTGTTGCCTTTGTCGCTGATCTAAAACACTCAATAAGCTGTACTTCAAGCCATTCACATAATACACATTTTTTATTGAGTAAGTGGGAGACTTCCCAATTCTTCCTACACCTAGAATGTATCCCTTTTTTCCATTGCCAAAGAACACACTCCCTCCTTCTAGGGCTCTGAGTGAAAGGAAATCATTAGTACTTCTAGTCATATGCTTCGAGCAGCCACTATCTATATACCATCTTTGGTTGGTTCCTTTCACTACTCCTTGCACAAGAGAATCAAGGATTAGACTTAGGAACCCAAACAAGTTTGGATCCTTTGTAATGAGGAAAAGGTTGAGGAAAAGGTTGAATCAAAGTTCTTTTTGTCAAAGCAGGCATCACATGTTTTTTATATAAGGGACCAGGTTTTTTAGTAGTAGTTACGTTTTCAGCAAAAACTTTTTTTTTCTATTGGGACTGAAATATGGCTTTACATGTTTCTTTAAATTTCCCAGTGTTACTGCAGTGAGTGCAGAGCCAATTATTAGGGATAGTAACATACCTGCTATGCGGGTTGTAAGGAGTTTGTTCCCTTTGGAGCCCGATTCCCTGCCTGTTTCCCTCGTTGTTCTTATACATAGCAGTGATTGCATTAGAGGACTAGGTCCATTTAAGAGATTTTTCTATGTCATTCTTAACTCTTCCTAGATCTTCCTGAAGTTGTCTGTTTCTCTCAAGTTCAGTACACATACTAGATTTCACTGATTTTAGCTTATTTTCAAGCCTAAGGTATGTCTCACTTGCAACTTCCTTTCCTTTTTGAGTGATCTCATGTCTACTTTCCCTTCTTAGTTCCTCAATTATTTCCTTTAGGTCTACAACTACTACTAATAGGTCATCTCTCTCATGATCTACGTTTGCAACTCTCTCAGCCAAGATATCTTTTTCCTTTTTTAAACTCTCAATGGTCTCTTTTAGATCAGCTACAACCACCACTAAATCATCTCTCTCATGTTCTATTTCATCTAGTTCCACAGTTAGCATATTTTTTTCATCAATGAGATTGTGATATGTATCAGTTAGAACTTTAGCCAAGGATATAAGCTTCTTTTGAGAATAGGACTTTAAATTTCTTTGAACATCCAAAAAGTTTACCACATCACCATCGTCATCTTCCTCATCCTCATCTGTTTTTTCCATTAGGAAAAAAATAGAGTCATACTCAGCTGATTCACTTTCTACTGCCATCATAGAGCTATCACCTTGCTCATCATCTTCTCCGGATTCGGTGGAAGAGTCTCCCCATGCAGCAAGAGCCTGTTTAACTACATTATCAACGATATCTTTTCTCTTGAATCTTTTGTCAAGAACCGGGTTCCTCTTGGTTGCTTTATCAGTATTGTGTTTATACTGGTCATGCTTGTGGAGAGGGCAATCCTTGATGAAGTGTCCTAGCTTCCTGCACTTATGACATAATTCATAGCCTTTTGGCTTGCTGGAGCTGCCCCTCTTTGGAATACCTCCATTTCTGCAAACTATCTTCTTAAATCCTTTTGTTAGATAGGCCATATCAGCATCCTCACCACTTGAGTCATTGTTGTTTGTCTTGAGAACCAGGTTCTTCTCCCTTTTGGGCTTTCTTCTCTCATGATCCTTCATCTTCTTCATCTCATAACTCTTCAAATTGCCAATAAGTTCACCAATGGTCAGCTTTTGCAGATCCTTTGCCTCCGTGATAGCATTAACTTTGCTTTCCTAAGAATCAGGTAATACACTGAGTATTTTCCTGACAAGTTTATTCTTTGGAATAATCTCTCCTAGAGAATGAAACTCATTGATGATAGATGTGAAGCGAGTGTGTGTGTCCTAAATGGACTTATCATCCTTCATCCTGAAGAGTTCATACTCAGTGGTTAGCATATCAATCTTTGACTGCTTGACTTGAGTTGTCCTTTCGTGTGCTTTTTGGAGAGCTTCCCAGATTTCTTTAGCAGATTGATAGGAAGAAATCTTGTTGTATTTGTTTGGTCTAATGCTACAGACAAGGATCCTTTTTGCTCGAAAATTCTTCTCTATAGACTTGCGGTAACTATCATTGTATTCCTTTCTTGTTTTGGGAATTGTCACTGTTGGTTCACCAATGGTCGTCATAGGAATGAAAGCACCATCACAGATAACATACCAGAGCTCTGAATCTTCAGCCATGATGAAGTCGTGCATCCTTGTCTTCCACTATCTGTAGTATTGTCCATTGAACCTCGGTGGTCTGTAGGTAGACTAACCTTCTTCAAAGTTTGGTGGAGCAGCCATGAGGATCTTTTATAGGTGTTAGCCTGATAGAAAGAACCTGCTCTGGTACCAATTGATAGAAACTAAGGGTCCACCAAACTATATAGAAAACTAGGTTCTATATTAGTTCTCACAGAACACACGCACACAACAGTAAGTAAATGACACAATGGAGTTTTACGTGGAAAACTCCCAGCTCACAAGATTAAAAACCATGAACTATACTCGTAGGATTTCAACTTCACTACTGAGCAAACTTTAGATTACAAACTATTGTAACCTAGGAATTCAACTCTTAATCCCTCACTAACTTGTAATAACCCTGTTACAATCCCCTTTGCAATAACTCTATTACAAAGCTTACAACTTGACTAACTCTAGCCAAGACACAAACACAAAGTTTATAATTTTACAAACGATTTCCTACATAATGCTTCTTAACTAAGCTAAGTAGGAATTACAAATAAATCACTTAAACAAAGGTGCAACACAACTAAGGATATGTAATGTCTCAATGCAGGAAACTAGTCCTTTGTTATGTTGTTCTTTGTTCTTGAAACATTGAGAGTCATTTGCAAGATTGACGCACTTGAGAGAAAGCTTGATCGGTTCTGGAAGTGTACAATTGACTTGTTTTTGATTTGCTTCATGTTAATATTATCCAAGTGATGTTACTTGGATACTATGTCCCCCTTAAATAAATTCCGTCCCTAAATTTACCTTGTACTGGTCCCGAAACAAATGTGCATATTGAACTCGCATATCCTCTTCTCTCTCCCAAGTAGCTTCTTCGCCAAAATATTTTTTCCAAATAACTTTCACTAAGGGGATACTTTTGTTTCTAAGCTCTTTTAACTCATGCGCTAAGATTTGGATTTGTTCTTCTCCATATGTCAAATCATGATTGACCTCACAGATTCAATAGAAAGTACATGAGATGGATCTAAGCGGTATATTCTAAGCATAGAAACATGAAAGACGTTGTGGATCTTGTCTAACTCTGGTGGAAGAGCTAGTTTATAAGCAACTAGGCTAACTCTCTCAAGCACTTAAGGTCCAATAAATCGTGGACTAAGTTTACCTTTTTGGCCAAATCTCATAATCTTCTTCAATGGAGAAACCTTTAAAAATACCTTATCACCCGCTTTATACTCAATTTCACGCCTCTTAAGATCAGCATAAGACTTTTGTCTATTTGAAGCAATTTTTAAGCGATCCCTGATTATTTTTACCTTATCTTCAGTTTGTTGCACAATCTTAGGACCCACCAATTTTCTTTCACCAACCTCATTCCAACAAAGAGGCGTTCTGCATTTTCTCCCATATAAAGCTTCATAAGGAGGCATGCATGTACTTGATTGGTAGCTATTATTGTAAGAAAATTCTATCATGGCTAAGTGTTTGTCCCAACTACCCTCAAACAAAATAATGCAGGCTCGAAGCATATCCTCCAAGATTTGTATTACCCTCTCAGATTGGTCGTCTGTTTGTGGATAGAAAGCAGTACTAAAATTCAACATGGAACCCAAAGGTTCTTGCAAGCTAGACCAAAATCTGAATGTAAACTTGGATCTCTATCAGACATAATAGAAATAAGGATTCTATGCAACTTCACAATTTCATTAATGTATAATTCTGCCAAACGTTCCAGTGAGTAGTCCATTCTGATTGCCAAGAAATGAGCACTCTTAGTTAGTCTATTTATAATGACCCAAATTACATCATGATTCCTTTGAGTGCATGGAACTCTAGAAACAAAGTCCATCGTCATCCTTTCCCATTTCCACTCAGGTATTGACAAGGGTTGTAGTAGACCAGCTGGGATTTAATGTTCAGCTTTTATTTGTTGACATACCAAGCATTTTATAAATTAACTATGCAATGTCTTTCTTCATACCACTCCACCAGTAGTACTCCTTGATGGTCTGGTACATTTTTGTATCTCCATGATGCATTACATAAGGTGAACTATGTGCTTCATTCAAGATCTTCTTCCTCAATTCATCATCATTAGGAACACACAACCTATTTTTATAAAATAAGGTACCATCTTTTTTCAATGTAAAATCTAATTTTCTTCTATTTTGGACTTCTTCAACCCGTTTCACAAGCTTTTCATCTAACTTTTGTGCTTCTTGGACCTGCTCAAGTAAGGCTAGCTTGACTTGCAAATTAGAAATGATAGAACCATTAGAATTAAATGAAAGACTAGCATTTATGGATCTTAATTCAAGAAGCAAAGGCAAAGGACTTAGAGTTAAACTTGCAAGGGAATTGCGACTCAACACATCTGCAACCGCATTGGCTTTTTCAGGATGATAATCAATCGTGCAATCATAATCTTTGATGAGTTCAAGCCATCTAAGTTGTCTCAAGTTTAACTCTTTTTGTGTACCTAAGTACTTCAAACTCTTGTGATCAATAAATATGTGACACTTCTCTCCGTACAAGTAATGCCTCTAAATTTTTAAGGAAAAAACAATGGAAGCAAGTTCAAGATCGTGAGTGGGATAATTCAACTCATGCAATTTCAACTTTCGAGAGGCTTAAGCAATTACTTTCCCTTCTTGCATCAAAACACAACCCAAGCCACAACGAGATTCATCATTGTATACCACATAATCTTTCTTTTCAGTTGGCAAAGAAAGTATTGGAGCTTGTGTCAACAAGGATTTGAGCTTTTCAAAGATCTCTTGACACTTTTCATCCCACACAAACTTGGTTTCTTATCCAAAAAGTTTGGTCAAAGGAGAAGCTATAATAGAGAATCCCTTCACGAACCTCCTATAGTATCCTGCTAAACCTAAGAAACTTCTGATCTTAGTTGGAGTTTTATGGGATTTCTAATCAATAATAGCTTGAATCTTACTAGGATCGACCTTCACACCTTCAGCTGATACAATATGCTCCCCAAAAGCTACTTCACTCAGCCAAAATTCACATTTGGAAAGCTTCAAGTAGAGTTGCCTCTCTTTCAGAATTTGCATGACAATCCGAAGATGCTTATCATGATCTCTATTTTTGGAATAGACTAAAATGGCATCAATAAAGACCGCCACAAATTGATCAATACACGGTTCATTAGATCCATAAATACAGTTGGAGCATTTGTCAAACCAAATGGCATTACCAAAAATTCATAACGGCCATACCTAGTCCTAAAAGCAATTTTAGGAACATCTTGCTCTCTCACGTGCAACTGATAATATCCAGACCTCAAGTCAATTTTTGAGAACAAGCTGGCACCCTTCAGTTGGTCAAACAATTCATCGATTCTAGGCAATGGATATTTGTTCTTGATTGTTACCTTGTTCAGCTGTCGGTAATCAATGCAAAGCCTAAGAGTGCCATCTTTCTTTTTCACAAATAAAACAGGAGTTCCCCAGGGCAAAATACTGGGATGGATAAAACCTTTCTCAAGAAGTTTTTGTAATTGAGCCTTCAACTCTTTAAATTCAGCTGGAGCCATTCTATAAGGAGCGATAGAAATAGGAGCAGTTCTAGGGACAAGCTCTATAGGAAATTCAATCTCCCTTTCTGGAGACAACCCAGGAAGATCATCAGGAAATACATCAGGAAATACATCAGGAAAGTCGCACACGGTTGGTATGTCCTTAATACTTGGACTCCCCAATAGTGTATCGACTATATGAGCAAGATAGGCATCACAACCTTGATGAATCATCTTCCTTGCCAAGACCGCAGAGATATTATTATATGTCAATGATCTTTCTCCTTGAACTACAATGTGTGAGTATGCAGGAGTTCTAAAAGTCACTTGCTTCAACCTATAATCAACCAATACATGGTGCCTATGGAGCCAATCCATACCAACAATAACATCATAGTCTTGAAAGGGTATTTCAAGCAAGTCTGCAGGGAAGACCAGATTTTGAATCATGAATGGATAATCTCGGTAAATCTTGTTAACAATAGTCTGATGACCTAATGGACTCATGACCAACACATCAAAGTCAAGTCTCATAGATTTAACAGTATCCATAAATGCAAGTGATGAGCAAACATAAGAGTGCGAAGATCCAGGATCAAATAATGTAACAACAGATATGCCAAATAAGTGAAATTTACCAACAACCACGTCTGGTCCATCTTGGTCATTATTTTGTCTCATAGCATAAAATCGTGTAGTAGATCTCGACCCACTAGCCTGATTAGCTCCACCCAAAACTGCTGCTTGCATATTTCTAGGTCTTGCACCGCTATTAGCTTGAGAATGAGTAGTGACAGGCTTTTGAACTGAGCCATCTATATGTGTATAAGAAAGAGGATTATGATTAGGACAATCCTTCACTTTATGATTCAGACTTCCACAATTAAAACAAGTACCAGAAGTTATTCTACATGCACCATAATGATTTTTCTCGCACTGTGCACAAGTAGGTGTATAAGTTTTGCCTTGGCCATAACTTGGATTACTGGAAATAGAGAAATTTGGCTTATTTTGCTTATGATATGATGACTTCTATGCATGTTTAGTCTTGGAATAGCCAAACTTTCCCTTCTTGGACGGACCGCCATAATCTGAATTACCCTTCCTAAACTTGTTTTCTCTCATACTAGCTTCTTCCTTGTTAATTCTTTCCCAAGTAAGAGCAGCTAAAATTATCTTGGAAAAATACTCAAGTTGAAAGATTGCCACAGATTTTCGAATGTAACCATTCAAACCTTCTTCAAATCTTCTGCACTTGTCTCTTTCACCATCAATAATACCTCCAACATAGCGAGAAAACCTGAGAAATTTTTGTTGATACTCTGCAATAGACATACTCCCTCGTCTTAAATTCAGAAACTCTTTTTTCTTAGCATCACAATAGACTGGGGGGACATATTTCGCACGAAATGCTTACGTCATCCCAAGTCCGCACCAGAGGTTTTGCTTTTGCAGTTGACACACT